TTCTGAGTGTTCGATCTTTGTATTAATAATTATAACAAACTAGTGGAATAATTTCACAAAAAAACAATTAAATATCAATTCAATAAAAATTTAATTAATGTAAATCGAGTTTTGTTCAAAAGTGATATTATTACTAAATGTTTATTGCTTTCTGATCTAGAAGACATATCACATTGCTATTATAACAGTGTTGTAACTCTAAATATGTGAAATTCAATATTATATCATTATTGAACATAAAATTTGATTCTCTAGACGTCCACAACAACAAAACCGTCGTCGTTAGAACATTGTAAGAAATAATTAAAAGATATCTACTTGATCCTAAAGAGTCACACTTTATGCGATCTAGTTCGGGCCAAAATAGTCCTTATTAAAAAATGTGAAATATTTTTTCCCATTTTATTTGTAAATATATTTGGCAAGTAGGAAATTGTTTAAGTGTCCGTAATAAACTATAATCCATACATCAATTTTAACGATCGTTAACTGGAAGTGAGTAATTCGTTTTTCATCGTTTCTGAGAAAATACACTTTTTGAGTCAATACATTATTGTATTAACCGTGCGATATTGAATCGGCTCGCTTGAAAATAGCACTGCAATAGTTGTTGGGTCGTATGCACTTGAATCGATCTCCATAAAGATTTAATCGTAATGTGCATCCTTAATAGTGCGAATCCACAGGATTGCAAGGTGAGTATTGTATGGTCTTTTTCGTCTAAAAAAGATTGTTTACATCGAAATTTGTAATAAGTATGGAATTATTCCGTATTCCATATTCGCCGTTTCTGCCCACGAGTTCAGGCAGAAATGAATTAAAAAATCCCGAGCGGATTGATTGGGTTCTAACCCACTGCCCACCGCTGGTGACAGTACATTGCAACGACGATTGGGCGCTACGTACCCCTGGTTGCACCCCGCGCATCGGTAGGGCTGCCACGGGCCGTGTTCCGCGACCCGGTGTCTGTAGAAGGCGCCGTAATCGTCGAAGGTCGCTGCGCACTTGTCGCACTTCGACTTGCGCGCGCGGTCGTGCATGCGCAGGTGTCTGTACAAAATTGTACTGGTCAATGTCAATTTCTATCAATTGTTAAATTTTTTATTTGAACTTAGAGAACGCAAGATTTTATAATGTTGTATTTGGGACGTATGTGTGAGAATCACCTGTTAAGCAGCGACTGCGAGGTATAAGCGGCGACGCAGAGGCCGCACTTGAAGACGCGCTCGCCGGCATGCGCACGCGCGTGCGCTGCTAGTGCTGTGCGCGACCGGTACGCCTTAGGGCAGCCCGTCCACTCACATTTGTACCTGCGCATGGCACAGGGCACTTCTGTACTGTATTAGCTATGAGTTTTAAAGGGGTCAATGTACTGCAGTAGATGCGATACTTATTATGTCCTTTGCTAATGTTTCACGTAACGTGTTGTGTAACACGTCCGACCCTACAAGTGTCATTTTACTCCGTCTTCAAAAAAGACATACAGATTGTTGTGTCAGGTGGCGGTATAGCGGAGCGTGCCTTACTGTGGAGGCCGGACATGCGTTAGCGCATGTGCGTTGTACGTGAGGTGGTTCCGGAAGGCGCGGCGGCACACGCGGCAGCGGCGCGGCGCGGCCAGGTGCGCGCGCGCCTGGTGCTGCCGCAGCTCCCAGCGCCGCCGGAACGCGGCGCCGCACACCTCGCACACTTGCGACCGCGCGCCGTGTTTCACGGCGTGGTGGCGAAACGACGCCTATTCAAAGTCATTGCGAACTCGCTTCATAAAGACACATTTTTTAATTGTAGATTCGTCTCGATACTGCAAATTTATAAAATAATTTTTATTATATAAATTTGTAGAATCGATAACAGTAAAATGGCAACATTAGTGGCAGATGTGGTAGGGGCGTTCTAGTGTTCGGATAGACGAGAAGCATTAACGACGAACTTTTGTTTTACGTGATAAAACAGAGTGTCTGTCTAGTTATGGTTTGTTAATAATAATGTATTGTTTTAGTAAAAGTGTGGGTTATATTATTAAGACCAGAAGTATTGGCTTTACAAATAATAATCTATAGATTACGGCATTCATTTGCGAAAATTCATATTAATAGAATTTTATAACCTTGCTGCTTTGTGAACTTAGTGCAGATTAAATCGTGCAAAATAGCTGCGCTTAAAATTAATACGGTTAACACAGTGTTTGTAATTCTGAAAAAAAAAATAAATAGAGAACACGTCATAATAGTGGCCAGAGTCATTTTGTAATTGGTAACAATCAAAAGAGATTACTTTTCAGCCACACCTCGTATGTGTAGTGGTTCAAAGCAATGATATTATACTTGTAAACAATTCAAGGTATCATTCTTCCCCTCAATAATGTTCGTAACGCTTTTGTCGTAACTGAGTAAGAAGAACGATCTTACTTAGCTTTCAAAAGAGAACATTTTTTGAAATAGGAATACACTCATCGCTAGATGAAATCGATAAGAGTTACAGCTCAAAATTTGAAGTGCTAGATCGAAAATACCTAAAAATGGGACGTTACAAATGAAACGGAATGTCAATATATTATCCTTTTTGATACTTGGTAATTCAAGATGTCTTACTTTGACTATGTTCAGAATAAGATCCGGCTCGAAGGACCAATGTAGAAGCTTAGATTGATAGTTTCATATCACACGAACTGTCACAAGTGAGGCAAAAATCAAATTCATGTAGGCTAGTTTTAGTAGTAGGTTAATTTTCGGTTTGAGTGAATATTTATATAAAAATACAAGTTGAAACGCGTTACTTCCTTGTGGAATGTGATGTTAGTATCTATTTTATGTTTGTCTGACGTATTTTTACACTCACTTACCGCACATTTCGTCATTTTTAGTTAAAATACTCGAGCTGTTCGCGGTGCAAGTTGACCTTGAGCACTGAAGGCCCGCCCGCTCGTGTAGGCCCTTTGGGCGCGCTTCAATTTGCCTCACTTCTCGTGTGCGGGCTAGGTTTCTATGCGTTATTATTCTAAGTGTAGAAGTATAAAGTACCAACCTGATCCTTCCCAATAAAATTGCACCCAGGATGTCGGCAGACGTAAGGATTGACGTCAAGATGTCGCCTGTGGTGTTTCACCACCTCTGTCTTGCTCATTGGGCCCTTTTTGCACTCCTCGCACTCGAAAGGACGCTGGAGAAATATTTCGTCAATGCAATGGCGGTTAAAAATTATAGCTGGTGGGAACTTGGATTCTGCTATAAGTGAAACTTTGCTTTGACATTTGCTTCATCGAGTCTCAAGCCATCTATCAGCGGACAAAAGCTAGCTTTCTTGTTTACTATGAGTACCAGAGCACCGGAATTAATTTCTCAGAATGTTTAGACCAGAAACAATTTATAAAAGTTAATTTCCAAAATTGGTCCCACCGGGAATCGAACCCGTGACCTCCTCAAGTAAGTGCAAACCGCTGGGCACTGTGGACGCTGGATGAGGTCCCGCTGCTATGCGTTTTCAAATTGTTTTTAACCGACTTCAAAAAAAAAGGAGGAGGTTCTCAATATAGACTTTGTTTTTTTCGTATGTTACGCGATAACTGCGTTGTGAACCAATTTTGATGATTCTTTTGTTGGAAAGACGGTACCTCACTATTGGTCTCGTCTAAATATGAAGACAATATTCCACCTAAGACTGTCAAACTAAGGGATGAATCCGGCGCACTTTCCGGTAACCGATTTCAATAAAACTTGGGAAATAGATGTAATTCCACGAATTTTTGAGGTTATTTTTTTAAATAACAAGTTACAATTACTATCCACGATATTTAAAATAAATATTAGAGATGATAAATGTGAACAAATTCTATTAAGAAAGAGCACCCCTAGAGTTTATTATAATTTTATAAAGAATAACAAAAAAAAAATGTATCTTATTGACTAAGTCAAAACAACGAATTGTCATTATCTGCTAAACACCTATTCGTTACTCAGCATTAGTAGATAATGAGTTTTAGGTAGAGCAGGGTTTCTTCACCCTTTTCTAGTCAAGGACTCCTCTCAAAATGTCAAAGAGCCCAAGGACCCTTTCCGGAAAGACTTTTACTAGCTTATATTGTTTGCGACTATACTTTACATAATTACATATTCATAGTACGACTGTTGCGATTCCATTATATTAGGTAGGCCCGCCAGGGACCCCCGGCGTTCTTTACACGGACTTACAGGGTTGACCCATGGACCACAGGTTAAGAAACCCTGAGGTAGAGGCACAATTAGCATAGTCAGTGGTTCTACCATGAGCGCAGTGACTGTCGCTAGCGACCGCATAAAGTACACTCACCAGCACATGTAGCGGAACACTAGTGAAATACCAAGTTTATTATTAAATTTATTCGATTAACATATACTATAATATAATATATACTATAACATTTGTTTTAATATCCTAGTAATATAGGTTCGTCGTTGTGGTTCGTTGTGGACTTAACGTTTTGTTTCGCAAAATTTAATTGTGAACGATTTCTATTATTTCATAAAAGAAACTTTGATCTAATTAATGTTAAAAACTGTTACAATTTTTAAATTTTCAGTCATTTGTGCTTTGTCACTAAATCTAAAATAATGCATATCGATTAACTTACCTTTTTTTCTTTAAAGGTTGATTCAGACTGTATTGAGTTGATACCTATACTTACGGCGCCGAGACGGGCTGCTCACAAGGGAATACATGCACAAAATCAGAGTAGCACAAAGGGCAATGGAGCTCACCATGCTCGGTATTTCTCTTGTCGACTGTATACCCAACTTGGAGATACGACAGCGAGCAGAAGTCGTAGATGTCGGTATGCAGATCGCGAGCATAAAATAGAGACGGGCAGGATACGTCGCTATGCGTAACGACGATGACAGACGGACCAAGGTGGTCACCGAGTGGTCCTCGAGGCAGACCACTTGCTAGATAGTCGGACGATATCTTCAGAGTGGCCGGAAGACTGTGGATTTTACTCGCACAGGACCGATTCAGCTGGCGTGCAAATGAGGAGGCCTATACTCAGCTGTGAGTGTTACGGGCTGAGATGAAGTTGATGGTAATTTAATCCGTCGCAGGAGGATTGGGCGCAGGCGGCAGCCTCCATAACGAGAGCCTTCGGGCACCGGTTGCGTGGACATTCGGTGCTTTAACGGAGACAGGTCCTCGAGACTGAATGCCGTGCATTGTGTTTCGGTATGTCATCAGCATGACTCGACTCGTTAAGTAGTCGCCGAAAAAGGTACCGGCGACGGCGGTAGCTGATGTGTTCGCGGTTGTGTGCAATTGCGTTCCCGTGTTCCCACCGGAAAGCGACTGGGCGAAACACCGTCAGGTTGTAGTTGGTACGAGTCCGACATAATCCTCGCCTCCTCGGGCGAAGGCATTCATTAGAAAAAAGGGTGTATTAAGTTGATGTTAATTTAATTGCCTCTTTATACCTAATTCTTAGATATTTAACTATAAAATTCATTATTTTATATTATCACTTTTTTGTTCCGCTAAATGTGCCGATGCGTGTAGTTCACAATTACATAAAGAGAATTGCACAGCGCCTCTAGCGGCCACGAGAATAAATAACTTTTTTTATACATACACCTTACGCAGCTCCTAGCGACAAACTCATGGTAGAAGCAATTAAGTTAATCACCAAGTAGGCTTTCATTGGTTTTACCTCCAGCTTCCAATAAGGAGTTAAGTATGAATCTGCATAGTGCTCTTCGACATGAAGTTTAACATCCTCTGTAGTCTCGAATGAGGTTAAACAGATTTGACAAGTTAAGTGCTTAGGAGGCACTTTTCTTACTCTTTCTGTAGCTGCAAAGTTAAATAAGAATGTAACGTGCCAGTAATGCGCCATACCACCACGGAAGAAAAAAAATGGATGCCTTCAAGTCTCGATTACTCTCGAAAATCCAAACAATGTGTTGCCATCTAGCGGTAAACAACTGAACGACGACGAATTCGAGATGTTTACATAGTTCTCCAAAAAAAGAAGCGACTTTATTGCAGCGGTATAAGGTTTATTTTCGTTTCTTGTAACAAAAAAAAAATTAGATAAAAAGAAAATTGAAAATTTATTAAAAGAAATAAAATAAGACTCAACGATCATATGAAACACCACCATAGATAATATTACAAGTGCCTCTATCATTCTTGCACTCCAAACTAGAAAAAAAAAACTGCCTCTGTAGCCGAACAGTTACCATGCTGTCTACCACGTAGAGGACCCAGGAGGAGAAATATTTGTATGGCCTCCATTTCTTTCCCATGTGGGTTTGGATGTAATTTGTGGTGTGTGTCCAAGGCATCCGCGACACAGGATTTCCCTAGTGCAGGGCTATGAGTGTGTGTAGTATTATTATTATTAATTGTCTATGTGTATTTGAAATTAAATAAAACCATTTTGATTTTGATACTTACTATCTGGACAAATAGCCTTTTCATTTTCCATGTCTATTTTAAATTTATTTCCATGATGTTGTTCAATCACATTGTTTTTATTGTTAACATTATTATTCCAAACAATTGACGTTTTACCATTTTTGGTATGTTCAATAGCATGGTCTCCTGTAACACACAAAAAGCTAAAGATACTGTTAATAAATAATATAAAGTTTTATTAAAATATTCTTAAGTATTGAAAATTGGTACAAAACACAAGAGACAGCAATACACACTTAGAATTATTACATTTCCTTAATGTTGATTTTATAATCTGGTAATTATCATATTTCAGCTAATTCAGACATTTTGGTTAATAACAAATAAAGTTACAATAACTTATATGTCACATTTCAATACAATGTATACAATATCACAGGGCAGTACTCATTTATAATAAAATACCAGATGCAATAAATACTTTTATTGCATTTTTCATTTACTAATGACAATTATGAAACCTTTAAAAGTAACTCAACTCACTTCTGATCTCAAAAAGTTATTACTCACTAGAAGAGTTCTTATTGGACAAAGATGGATGTTCAATCTCTCTGTAACACATATTATGTATAGTTTTAACATGACATAAATATAATTTGGAATTGTAATTTGAGAATATATTTTAATTAGGTAATTTTTAGAAAACCAATAATTGACATTTTAAATTGTTATAATGGTATAAGACGGATGTAGATTTAATATAAAATTCATTTTAAAAATGTATATTGCAACATCCTAACAGGGTCCATGTTTGTATGTCTGTATGTACTATTCAAGATGCAATAAATAAATAAATAAATAAACGAAAGTTATTATATTAACTAATACGTTAATATAACAAAAAAATTGGAACACAAAATAATACCAAAACACAATGATTATAATTAAAAAACAAAATAAAATTACAATAGCCTCCATAACTACACCGTGGCCAAACGAAAGATTATAGATTTTCAGCAATTAAAAAATTGTAGGCCATACAGTACGTAAACCGTGGTAGCCTAACGGTTTGACCTAGTGACTCTCAAGCAGAGAGTCGTGGGTTCGAATGCTGGCATTGAATCAAATCCGGAAATTTACCATGAGTTTTTTAGTGAACGAAAACATAGTAAGGAAACCTGTACATATCTGCAAAGCAATTTAATGATGTGCATGAAGTTTCCAATCTACTTTGTGATAGCATGGGAACTACAGTCCAAATCACCCCATTGCAAGAGGAGGCCTATTCCCAGCAGTATAATACACTGCTATAGCCTATATTATAGGTTAACTGTTTTTATTATATTATCTCTAGATTTTAATATGTCATCATCACATGATGTTTCTTTAAACTCTTCTGATGTTTAGAAGCGTACAAAATAATGTAAAAAAAAATGTATTTACATCTAAAAAACCTAATATCTCACATACGGTGCTACGGCAAAAAAGTTGTTAAATACCAAAAACAAATCAACTGCAACAAGCACATAGAAAAATTCATAAGGTCCGCTAAATACATTCCGTGGCTTAGTTGGCATAGTGTCCGGCGTATTTGATGGAAGATGTTTGTTTGAGTCCAGCCAGATTGAAGGAATTTGTTCGTATTAATAATTATTACAAACCAGTGGAGTAATTTTACAAAAATAATTGAATATCATGGTGGTAAGTAAAACATTGTGATGTTCAATAAACTTAAAAATTACAATCATAATACCTGTTTCATGAATTTGGGAGTCTTGTAGTGCCTCATCAATTTCACTTTTATTGCTCTCTGTAAGCAGTGAATGTGCCTTAGTGACCATGTTACGGAAGTCGCAGCTAAGCTCAACCACGTAGCGGCATTTGTGGCAGATTTTTGTTGGCAGACCTTCTTCTTGGTGCAACTAAGTTAATTTAAGAGTAATTAGTAGAATAATTACATAAAATTTTGTGTAAAAACGATGAAAGGCCGATGGCGACCGTTTGCCATCTGGCCTATTTTAGTACCTAAACTACAATATATATTTATATATATTTATAGTTTTTGTCATAATTTAAAATTATGACAAAAACGCCGTGACATTGCTTTGTGTACGCGTACGTAAGAAATATACGCATGTTGCATTTCAAGGATTTATCTGGTCATTAAGTGTGTATCTCAAACCACTAAAGAAATACTGTAAATTAAAGGAAAACTTACTTCTAAACCGGTAGAGTGAAGTACGAGTTTTCGTAGACTGTTTTCTGTCTCGTTTTCGAATATATCTGACATTGCCCCCGTCGACTGCAAGCATAGACGACAGATCTTTTCGTAATCTACCACTAGTATTACGTTATCATACATTTTCACTAATAAATTCAAGAATATTTGCAAACATTTACAAAAACATACCGTTGACAGCTATCAGCTGTTAGGTTTCGTTTCGTTTTACGTAATTGCGTACAATTAATTAATTATATTACATATTATACAATTATATTATTATATGTGCTTTCTTTAAAAAATCCTATAAATAGGATAAAAACGGAAATTATGGCCAAAACAATGATCTTATTTAAAATAAAAATTAGTTTGGCTTAAAAATCTATCTATCCAAGTTAACTCAAAAACAAAATAACAGCATTCTAAATAAATATTATTTATTTATATGACTATGTCTAAAAAGCTACGTGAAACAAATAAATTAAGCCAATATTCGATAATAAGGAAAGAGTAATAAAAATTAAACAAAACAAATTCAATATGTAGCGACAGTGTAAAAGCAGTCCTTATTAAACTTGAAGCGTATATTGGAGTGGATATGTGTCAACGTTATTAAATATAACCTCAAAAAGTAAACGTGACATACGACACGCTCTAGGTAGTTGTTTACTATTTTCATTAGTTTGATAAGAATATTAATTAGATTTCTGGTGACAATATGTCTGAAACAAGCACAAAAAACGTTGAGATTGATCCAAATAACTGCATACAAGTAGGTAGTTACATTATTATACAAAAACATAATTACAAAAAAATTCATAAATTCAACAAACCCGATTCTACGGTATCTATTGGTCGAGATAGCGTTAATTTAGATGGCATCGTAGGCTATCCGTATTTTTCTATGTTTAAAATGTTGCCAAAAGGCAAAAAAGGGCGCGAATTTAGTCTAGAATGGACAAACGAGGCTGTAGAGTTAAAAGATGAAATTGAAATAAAAGAATCTGGCGAGGATAACAGAGGTATTGTAGACGATGGCAGGTCACAGAAACTAACAGCCGATGAGATCAGGGGCCTTGCTACCGATAATAATAGGGCTTCGGATATTGTAGAAACACTGATATCGAACTCCGTTACTTTCCATAATAAAACGGAATATGCGCAAGAGAAATATTTAAAAAAGAAAGAGAAAAAGTACTCTGAGTATATACAAATTTTACGTCCCAACTTGAGAATGATAGCTGATATTATGTACAACTTAGAACCGGGAAAGATACAGCACATTCGGTTAGATACATTATCTCAAATTCTGACATACAGTAATGTACAAAGTGAAGGAGTACATTTGCTCTATGATTCAGGTTCAAATGGTCTTGTAGCTGCCGCATTATTAAGTCGTATTGGAGAAGAAACAGATGGTAAACTTGTGCACATGCATCCAGGGAATATGTCTCAAAAACAAGCCTTACTAGCTATGAATTTCCCAGAAGAACAATACAATAGGTGTATCTCCGTTAACATTTATTCTGTTTTAAGACAAGTGTATCAAGGTTGCGATACTCATCAAGAGAAATCTACTAACAATTTTAGTGAAACGAGTATAGATGAAACTAGTACAGAATCTTTGAAACGTAAAGCTGATCAGAACAATACTGGACATAAGAGTAAAATAGCTAAAACGGAAGAAAATCACGATGTTTCGAATTCAGACACAACTTCACCCATTGAAGATAGCATAACAGTCAGTAATACAGCCGAAGAAACTGGCAAAGTGGATCAAAAAACTACAACAAATAATAGTGACAAAGTCGGAGATACAAAAGTGAATATTCCACAAGACAACGAAGCCAACCAGAAAGAATGTTTTGAACCTAAAAAGCCTAAATGGCACTATGATAACATCACAGCAGCAGAATTATTAAGCCACAAAGTTGATTCGCTAGTAATAGCCTGTAAAGAAGACCCGTTGAATATTTTCAATGAACTACTGCAATTCGTGAAGCCAAGTCGACCATTTGTGGTTTATTACGTTGTGGCTGAACCGCTACAAAACATGTATGTTGCGTTGAAGTCGAACCCTAGAGTTTGCGCTTTGAAGCTTTCTTGTAACTGGATGAGAAATTACCAGGTTTGTAAATGTTATATATATATTATACTTCGTCATGCCCATTTTTAACTTTTGACATATGCATGCCTCTGAAGTTCCATAATTATTGACATACAACCCAAAAATAGACAAGAAAATGCAGTACTTCCTCGAGTCTTTTATTTTTTAAATTTTAATTTTTAACTTT